ATCTGAAACATAGCCTCAAACAAGCTTCTATGAAGAAATTTAACTTTATCCCAGCCAAAACCAGTACATCATGCTTTTTAATTTGTCTGATTTTGTCTTTGCAGAATAGCGTGTAGATGTACATTGAGATCCCAGTTAAGTTGCATTCATTGTAATCAAGGTTCTCAGAGGTTTTGAAAGCAAACTAGTTCATATCTTTTGGTAGAAATTTGTCTTTTATCTTGCAGTAGAAAATAGTGCAAGATTGGCTTGGGAACTGGTGGTTTAGGGCCAGTATTGGATTTGCAACTACTTTGGCTTGGGTACGAGACCATTCTGCAGTAGCTAGCTTTGCATTTGGTAATTGTGTTTAACTTTCAATACCTGCCCAATATTTACATCAAGCCAACATGGCACTCGGTTGGAGAAAGCTGCGTGCAGAGGCCATATGACCATAACTGCACACATCTAGAGCCACCCATCTTTGTGTACACCACAGGCTGTTTCTTGAAAAGGCTCAGGTTGATTCTGTGTGTTGACTTGCACCTGGTATGCATGGGAGGGACACACAGAAAAGGGCTGTTGGATGTGAATTGTTAACTGACATCAGACAGCCTATGCAGCTTACCTTCTGCAGCTTTTTTTTCCTAGAAAGTACTTGGAAACAGGATGGGTGAAGTGTTTAGCCATCAGCAGCCTCTTCCTGTGGGCCATCTTCACAGCTGATCTTGACTAGCAGGGATGGTGCCAAGAGAGGGGACCTTCAGGAAACTGATGAGAGCAGGCTGCTGTCCAAACAGCTCGTACCTTGCTTCCAGATTGCTTTTGAGAAAGAAATGCTACTAAACATTTTGAATTGATACTTAATGTATCAAAAAAAAAAAAAGCCTCTGAAAGCAATAAGATGCATAGTTTAATTCCATAATTAAATTCAGTCTGGTTTTAGTCTTATCTAGACTAGAAGGCTATAATTTCTTTACAAGTTTTTTAAATTACTTAAGCCTAGTCTGTCAAGGTTACAGATAAAGGTTTACAGCACAAATCTGATTGATTTTAATGTTTTCTCTAGGGTGATCTTCACAGAAACTACTAAAGACTTCAAAGAATTCATTTTAGGCAGAACAAGTGACTGAAAGTAAAATGGATCCTTGTTCAGTTGGAGTTCAGCTTCAAGCTTCCAATGAATGCCACAAGACCTATTATACCCGTCACACTGGCTTCAAATCTAAGCAAGATATATCTTCATCTGATCTACTGTTACTTCAGCTTAGGACTGGAATAACCTTTTCAGAAAACAATACAATCTGCTTCCACCATGCGAAAATTTACATTGAAAGATTTGAAGACTTACAGAAATCATGCTGTGATCCCTTTAACATACACAGAAAACTGTCAAAGAAAAACTTACGTGCAATTGACTTGGATGATGCAACTTTTTTAAGTGCCAAGTTTGGAAGACAGTTTGTACCTGGTTGGAAGCTTTGTCCCAAATGTATGCAGATAATAAATGGAAGCGTGGACGTTGAATCTGAAGATCGACAGAGGAGGAAACTTGATCCGGACGTACGTATATGGATCGGTTTTCCCATCTCCCCTAAGTTCTGCAAGCTATTGGAATTGGGCTTCATTCAAGTCCTGCATAAAGAAAATACATTTTTTACTAGAAATATGAAAGGGTTTAGTCTTTTAGATGTGTGGAAGTTTACTGTATTTAAACCTTTATTTGGAGAACCTTAAAAAAATCCTTTTCCCTAATTAAATATTACAGCCTTTCATATTCAAATAATTGCGTGCACTAGGGTGACTTAAAACTTTTAAGTTTACATAAGAAGCAGGCTGCTGCTGGCATTGTAGGCTGTTACTCAAGACTTAAAAAAAAACAAGCTCATGTGCTTAAAACTGAACGCTGCAAAGGTTGCTTCTAAGGATGTTGAGATAAACTTCTGGTTTAGTCTCTTCAGTGTAAAAAAAAAAATCCACTTTCTCTAGCAGTTCATTACCAAGTGAACCTACATGGAGGTGAATTAAGTGCACTCCTGCTGCGGTGTCTGAGCTGCAAAGGACATGGCATTTGTTCAGGGCCAGTAATGAACTGGTGTGGGAGGATAACACTTTTAAGTGCTGAGTTTAGAATACAGCTTGTGCATTGTTGGATGCATTGCTTAGGATGCGTGCAGGTAATCAGTAGAAGTATGGGCAACCACACTGGCAAGAGCCCATCCCTACATGCCCTGTAGCAAAGCAGAATTGCCTTCTAGAAGCTGTTGTCTCTTTCAGCCCAGGGGCTGTTGCCCACCTGTATTTTTCAATTGCATGTCAGTATGATTAGGAGACTGATAAGGGGAGAAATTTGAAAGCATTGATTAAAACTGCTACTATAAAGTTTGTATTTTTGATTATTGAGACTGGTACATTTCTCCAGTATAAAAAAAAATTAAGTTGTTTCTCCTGGGAAATCTAGTGCTTAGAGTTGAGGTCAGCAATTTACTGAAGTTATTACAATATCCTGGCTCAACTGGACATTTTAAACAGTTTAGGTTTCTATTTGTAACTAAATGGGATTTTCTGTCTTTGTTCAGGGGCGTACAGCTAAGGCTTTAAAGTCTCTACAGTTTGCTAATCCAGGACGACAGACTGAATTTACTCCCGAGACTAGTAAGAGAGAAAAGAGAAGGCTGCAAACAAAAAATGCAACATTTAATTCAGACAGGTGAGCTCTTTCCTGTACTTACATTACCTTTAACTTTCACTTCGAAATAAAACAGCCTTGATGGTCACTGTCCCTGTAACACTGTAATATTTTCTATATAGATGTTTTGCATGTTTATGGATTGCTTTTTTGGTTTTGAGGATGTTAAAACTCACTCTCATTACAGAGATAAACCAGAAGATGAAATGTTAGCATACAGTCTGTATTTCAAGCATTTAGAATACAAACAAGTATTTAGTAAGGCATGACAATACCTTACAGATGACAGATGAAGCTATTAATTTGTGCATAAACTAAAATTCTGATAGTAGGCTAAATTGGAATACAGTAGGATCAAGTAGACTATACTTAAAATATTGGAGTTGTCATCTTTCAATAAACTCAGTAGTTGCACTTTGTAAACAAAAATGTGCAAGTTAGGACCTTACCTTCCTTTTAAAAAAGGAATTTAGTATCCAAGTTAGGCAATACTAGATAAGAATTACAACCTTCTAATGTGACTGATTTTAAAAAAATCACACTTTATACAGAGGAAAGGTATATGCAGCTGAATTTTGTCTATCATTTTCCACTGAAGTTTGGACCAATTCAGTCTTGTCCTAATAAGAGAGAGAGAGAAGTCCCAGCTTTAACTAGTCATACAATATTTGCCAAAACATGTAAGAAAGATCAAATTAATGCCTTTCCCCTGCTCTCCTCCCAAGTTTAACCTTATAAGACAGGAACAGACATTAGATGTGCTACTCACAAACCACACATCCTTTTTCCCCTCTATTTATTCCTTCTGCTCAGTTTGGGCACAAGTTGCAACAAGGGAAATTTTGATGCAATATTAGGAAAACTTTTTCTATGTATGCAATAAAACACTGGATCAAAAGTGCTGTGGCATCTCTGACATCAGACCTATTTGGAACTCAACTAGATGCAGCCCTAAGCCACCTAATTTGAGTTGACTTGGCTTTGAACAGAGGGTCAGACAAGGGGACTTCCAGAGGTGACTTATAAGAGAGAGTTTTTTCTGATTCTGCAGTTTAATAGAAATATCACAGAGGTAGATAATGATTAAAGCATAAAAAATACTTTTAAATTAGGATGTGCACTCTCTAAATGATTCTACATGACCTCCTTTGAATTACAGCTACATGTTAACAAAGAAAATTAAAATAAGGGAGCATTTCACATCATCTGAAAGGTAACCTGATGTTTATGTCATAGAACTAAGAGTATTCACAAGCAGTTGAATAAATGTGCTATTGAAGAAATTCTTGAAGTTATTTCAAAAGCACTGTAGTGGAGATACAATTAGGACTGAGAAATGTTGTCAAATATGTATACATCTTTTAAATGAAAGGTGTTAAAATGAGCACCAGAAATAAACTTCTGTCCACAACAATTAGCAGCTTATCATCAAAATAGGTGGATTTTTTTAACATGGAAATAACTGTTGTTTTTGTCTATACAGGCAAGTTATACCAGCCAAGAGTAAAGTCTATGATAGCCAGGGCCTCCTACTTTACAGTGGGATGGACCTCTGTGATTGCCTTGATGAAGATTGCCTGGGATGTTTCTATGCTTGCCCCAAGTGTGGCTCCAACAAGTGTGGAGCTGAGTGTCGCTGTGACCGCAAGTGGTTATATGAGCAAATTGAGATAGAAGGTGGAGAAATAATTAAAAATAAGCATGTTGGTTAGTGTATATGCACACTGTTTATCCTGAGTATATATTCCAGGCTTTCATTAAACACAGCACATTCATTCTTTAGTAGTTTAATGAAAGCCATCAGAATTTGTCATGATCCACATGATTAATGCACTCACTTTCACATTCATTTTCATTATGATTATGGCAATATTCTTAATTGTACTACTGTCTTTTCACGCTTCATTCTACGTTGTACTCAGTCTTGTTAGTCAACCAAGTAAGTTCTCATTGAACAGTCTTTCACTGTATTAAGGTCCTAAATTTTTGTATGACACAACCTCTCCATAGCCACTCACCATTGTTTCATATACTGTTTTGTAGAGTGTACCATCTCCTTGTATCCCTCATTTTTCCTCTGTAGTTCAGGATTTCATGGTTTTGCATCTGTTTTGTCTGAAACACTCTAAAAATTCTCAGTGAATTTATATGAAGTATTACTAAAGCTCTCTCCAGTATTAATAGTGAATGCTCTATGTTCTATAGATTATCCCAGCTACATCTGATAAAGTCAATCCTATTCACTTAAATGGATTAAAAAGCATTTAGGAGTTTAGATCCTATCCAGGTTACTGGGGTTTGAGATCAAATTATCCTTAAGAATTCAAGCCTCTCTGTTAAAGTGTTATTAAACTGTTAAAGCATTGAAAAATATATTAAAGTATTTAATTATGGTACTGTTTTGTTGGCTTCTGTATAACAAAATTGAAATAATTTTGCTGTATTTGTTACCAGTCTGAAATTGGACTGGTACTTCAACAGCCCTCTTACTTCTGCTTGTTTTTAAGGTAAATGTTTACATGCAGCTGAAATGAATTTGAGTGGCTGTTCCCAAACTAAGATTATCCAGACTGCTACAAAAAACCCCAAAAAAACACCAGTTGAATTTAAACTGTGTTTGATTGATGCAGTATCTGTCCTCAGAACATTAAAACATTACAATACAACATGTAAAAGATTCTATAATTGAAATCTTAGTAACATTAAGTGTTATTCCTTGTTATTTTTGTTGTTTTGGATAAATTTCCTATTTCTGTGATAGACTTGGAAGATCTGCATGTTTATTGGGTCACATTTATTGAAGAATACTGTTAAACTATTGATTTCTGAACACTTATTTGATAAAGTTGTATAATCTTGCTATTTGTTTAGCGTATTTTCTTTTCTTATACATGAAGGTAGCATCGCTAAAATACAAAGTTCTGCCTGGAGTGGTGCTGACATCTGCTGGTCCTAGTGAAATGTAAGCATCAACTTACAGTACATTTTTATTAGGTCTACTGCAAAAATAAACAGACTTTCTTATTTTTGTTCAGAGCATTGGCTGCTCTTGCAATGAATGTCTCTCACATTCACCTTGGATTCCAGCCACATTTATCACAAGAACCATCATGTGAGTTTATTTAGGGAGAGTACCACACTCTTTATGCTCTTTTCCAGACAGCAACACCACAAGTGAGTAATAGCCATGGCTTCCCTTACATGCAAATGGCATTTAACACATTTTACTTTGTTGACTGCAGAGCATGCTTATCCTGACACAGCAGTTCAACTCTTGTGCTTGATCCAAGTTTGGAACTGTTTCATCTCTTAAGCAACCTTTTGAATTAGGTGAAAAGATAAATATATACCTCCATGAAAGTGAGAGGGGGGAAAAGCTGGTCCAATATTGTAGTTTTTATGGGGGTTTGGGGGGGGTTTTTTGTTTGTTGTTGTTTTTTTTTTTAAATTGGACCAGAGTCATCAGTACCCATTGTTAGTAAATTTAACAGGCTTCCAACTGTTTGATTAATATAGCTTACCACTTGAGTCCACTGTTAGACTTTGGATTCAGTAACTGTTAAAGCATTTCACTGAAGTGAAACATGAGTCTACCAGTAGCTTAAATAGCCCAGAGCATCTTGTTATTAGAACTGTATTTCTGTTACTCCATGAAGTCTCTGCAAAGTTAGTACATTCAGTCTCTCATTTGACAGATTCACTGGCAATGAATACTTTCCCAAATAAATCACCCAAGTTGTTTCCTAACAAAGTACATAGGACTGCTGTTTGACTAAAAACCTGCACTAAGTACTGGGTACTTTTGATTGCTGTAGAAGCTATGAGAGACTTAGAGTTTTTTCCAGTAAAGCAGGGCTTTTTGTTGTTAGTTGTTCACCTGTCCTGCTCACATATTTAGGGCTTTTCAGTTTAGCTGCATTTCCCTAGCGCATCTAGGTTGTAGTGTGTTACCAAGTTCAGTAATGCATTTTTATACACCTCCATGTCCTGCTGTGTCCCTCATCCATTTTTCTGTTAAAAAGACATTGGTGCAAGTCAAACATTACCATCTTGCTAGATCTAAAATGCTAATAGCTAGGAATTTCTCTGTTTTTTTTCTGTACGTTTTTATAAACAGTACACAAACTTACCCCATCAGCATAACACACAAGGTATTTTATCATCATCTAGAAGTAATTGCATATTGTTCCCAATAGCATATGCAGTTCCCTGCCTTTCAGAATTACTCTACATCTAAGCCTGTTAAACACTGTATTCTTTTAATATAGCCAAGGAAAACAACTACTTTCCATAAAAGCCAGAGTTCATAAACCAGGTATAATAACCTCTTTAAACTCTGCATGCATTAAAGAGAAAAGCCAACTGCAGATATACTCCAGTTACCATTTTAAAAAGCTTTCCTTTTGATATTAATTGCAAAAATGAGTGCCTAGACAAAGTTTACATATTCAAAAGACAGAAATCAATGACAGTAAAATAATTTGTTCTAAGGATAATACATATCCCATGGATTAATTTGAGTTTATTGAACAGAAGCTCCAGATTTGTGATCTCTAAGTACAATGTGTTAAGTACTGTTTTGATTTCTTTCTCACACAGAGAAACATTCACATCAAATTTAGAACATGGTCAATTTATCATCTGTTCAAGTCAGTGACCTTGTGAGAGTTACCACAGAACTTTGGGGTCATATCTGAGTCAGGATGTGCCATTTTTTTCTCCCCCCTTAGTGGCATTGAAAGTTTCAAACTGATAAAGCTGAATATTCTTTAGCCTTTTTGAAAAGGCGTTTCCTATACTAGCCAGAGCGGACCAACGGACAACTGCACAAGAGCTCACTCTGAAGTGCCATAGTGACATAGGCACACAGAGGTGAGGTATTCAGGTGAACATCTGTCATGTGCTGTGTGAGAGAAACAGCTACAACTTGCTGAAATCAGTATTAAAGCCTTCAGGTTCTTCTAGTCTAATGAAAAAGCATGAACATACATTTTCTAGTTTCAGTTACTTTGTTTTCCTCTAAAATTAGAGTCACATTTTTGTTCATATTTGTATCCTAATAAATGCAGAGTTTCATAATTTTTCAACTGATTTCTCAGTGGAATATAGGATGTACAGACATGTAGCTTGTCCCTTGTGATCCAGATAATTTTCCCCAATAATTCTTCAGTAAACATTTTTAAAGTTTTATTCACCATATACTAACTTCTCATGAGTCAATATCATACTAATGACAACTTCATTTAAACAGGCTAAGCAGTTCTTTCCAACTTTAAGTTACACATGCTTTTAAATCCTACTAATAGTAGAGGAATGGTTTATTAAAAGGATATTTGCATTTACATATCCTTAATTACAAGTTGCATCTAATATTTACCAATGCTGAAGCCGTAACTGAAACTGTTCTTGTATTCATTCACTGCAATTACATTTCAAATTAATAGCTCTCCTCCAAGCACATACTAAAAAATCTTGTAGTAAGGTGTAAAGGCTTGTGATTAAACTGCCCAGTTCACTCTTTGTAGGTGTTGTAACTCGTGATCCTGCTCTGAAATAGGGGTTTTACATTTTAAAAGTTCCTCGTACCCAGCAGAGGGCATCAGCTTACTGCAAACCTGACCATGGACTTCTCCTGGTGCACCTCTTAGAGATGCATCCCCAGGCATCTGAGCAGAGGGGAATTCATTATCCAACAGAGTCAGGAATTGAGCCCAAGACAAGAGATGCATTACCCACATCTGTGAGGCTGAAATACACCAGATTCCAGTACAAGATTAGTACTTAAAACTAAGAGAAATTTATTTTCTTCTTGGTCTTTGTAAAAGCTTTTCTCCCAGCCCCCAAAATACCTTGCTGGTTGTTGATTCTTTAAGTAGAGATCAACACAATTCTTCACAGCTTCATTTACAATCTACAGTGTTCACTATGAAACCTTGGTTTAGAGCTTCTACCTGAGCATTCCCTCAGCAATTCAGTATTAGGCAGCTGAGAAACCCACTCACAGCAGGGTCCTGCACTCATTAGCAAAACAGGAGACTTTCTGACATCCACACTGGTGCTGCTGCCAGCGTGCAATACAACCACGTGTCCTCTTTCCCAGACAAACAGGTAAAATACTCTGACAGTATTTTATCAGAGTAGCTACAATAGTAACCAGAAGCAGCTCAGCATAAGCTGTGGAAGGCCAGGGTGGGCAAAAGCAAGAGGAGCAGCTGGGGATGGGAAAAGTTTTCTCAGATCTCCTACTATTATTAAGTGCTGAGAAAATTGCCTTAATTCTTCTCCCCTCAGCTTCCTTTGGCAGCCCTTCATATGTACACACCAGCAAATTAAATCTGTACAGCACACTAAATGCCTTGCCCTTCTAGGCACTATTTAGGGCAATATTATCACCTTGAGTGCAATAAACTGAGTTCTCCATCTCACCCACAGGTGACAGCACTACCTGCTGTAACCTCCTGAGAGTAAACAGGGATTGAGCGTGCATGCAGAGCGCAAGCCTAGAACCAGAAGGAACAGCAATTCCCTTCTGCCATCTTCTGATTTTCTCCTTGTTATTCTTCCATTTGTTCTTGCATTTTACTTGATAGCTCTGCCTACTTCAAATTGTTCATTTTAGCTACTGAATTAATACCAGTAATTTACATATATTAAAAAAAACCAAAACAAAATAGTCCCAGCAAGCACCAGCTAACTATCCCAAATAAACCACTTAGCAGAACCATCAAAATTTCTGCAGAGAAATTCAAAGCTTCTCAGAGAGAAATCACTGGGATCCTACTCAATTCATAGTCCTTAAGG